GTGTCCCCCCATGTCCAGCCCTAACTCCGCATCGCATCCAATCGGGTGGAAACAGGCTGGTGCTCCGCTGCGCTGTCTCCTGTCTGAACACTCTTGGAGCACTCTGATTGGTTGTTTTGGTCAGCCAAACAGAGCGCGAATAAAGCATTATGGACAGACAGACAGACGAAAGCTTTCATAATATTAGAATACTCACAGAGGCAGCTATGCTTATGTTATATTCATTTTCATCCAAAAGCTTTTCCTGGGTAGAGTTGAATCTACGTGGGAAATTATGCAGAGATGTTGTTGCTGCTTGTAATAAAAAGGCTCCAAAGTAAAAGACAAAAGTAGCTCCATGGAAAAGGAAATCCTGAAAAGAAAGTAATGAAATTAGTGTGCTGTAACTGACCTAATTTATTTAACTTCAGGGGGGAAAAAGTGAAATACTCAGATAAATTAAATAAAATTATTCTGAGATTAACTATGCCTAACACAAAGATGGTAGGTAATATATTGATTTTCCTAGTGCTAGAAAAGTGCATCACAACATATAATTCATTCATGTATTAAATTCCTGAAGAGGGATTTAGGCATAACTTAGGGCCCCATGTGCAAAATTGCAATGCTGAAAACCCCTGCTCAGCTCCTACTTCAATGCCACCAGCACCAAAGATTCTGACACAAAATTTTGCCAGGTACTTAAAATTCTCTCTCTGTGTATAGCCAAAATATCTCCCTTTTAACATGGCTGAGTGGCTTGGTGCTTAGCTCATGCCTATCTGCAGTCTAGACGCAGGTGTTCTTCTCCTTTGTCTTCCTGATGAGTCAGGCTTTTTCAGAGTATCCCTACCAATCAAATGGGTTCTGCACCAAATGCAGTGGTGACTGCCCCCTTTTTTGCAACGTGATTGAAGCTGCTGCCATGCCCTCCTACTTCCTTCTGTTCAACGTTGTTGGGACATTCATCCAGGATATAGGAGACTCCTGTACAAGTCCTTCCTCTGCTTGAGGAGATTCATACCCACATCTACTACTTTTTGGGTTGCTCATCAGACTACAAGTCTAAAGGACATTTATGCATATCAACAGGAGACTCGTGTAAAATACATGAGCATCCTTCTAGCAAGGAGATAAATCCAGGACTTTTTCCCAGGTGAATGACCTAACCACTAGGTTACAGTGTTGTGCTCTCTCTTGTGTTCTCTCAATGGCCCAATGAATCTTTATTTTTCTACACTGCTGAACAGGTTCAAAAGGAGGGAGAGTATGCCCCACCCAGAAAACCCTACAGCCAGGTAGTTGAAGTACACATTGTAAGAGGTAGAAGATATGGATTTGAATCTCTTGCAGAGGGGAAAATTAAATGCTGATCTCCTGTATCTTGGGTGACAGCTCAAGCTGTCTTTTACTGCACCTCTCACACATGCACACTTGAAAGAAAGAGCATAGCTATCCTCTTCTGAATGAGGGCTCCAAGCTCTGAAATTTGAGTAGCGATATGTGCTTAAAGCCTGGAGAAGGAGGATACTTTAGATACACCCCTGATATGCTCTGCTAACACCTAGCCCTTATTAGCTCACACCTGTTTAGGGAAGAGACTGATTCCTCCCATGATTTGAATAAGGGGCTTAGGCATACAATTAAGGATTCCAGATGCAAACATGCAAGTCTGCCTCGATGTGGCCAAGTCCCTCCTTAGATTTAGGTTGACAGCCTGGCATTCCAGATAGAGAGTTTTAAAAAAAAGTTTCAGTAAAGTTTATCTAATATATTTATCCCTTTGGTAATTTGTAGCCTACTAAATTCATGCTAGCAGGAATATCTTTCAGGGGATCTACGTAAATACCTTATGATGTCATTAGAAACAAAATAGTTTTCATTGCTATATTTGCTATGTTTCATGATTTAATATACAACTGTATACATATGTATGCCATTTGTGTGGAGGTGGTAGCCAAGTGAAATAGTACCTCTAGGGGACTAATTAATTCATTATTTCTTTCCAACTGTATACCAAGGGACCATAACTTTCTCTAAGCATGAAAACATGAAGTAAATCAACAGTTTGATATTGATTGTACTACCTCTGTAACATCAAGGTCATGTCCTGCATTGTCCTAGTTAGGGAAATGTTTTCTACACAGATTTCCACCCCCCCCCGGTGAGTTTTATTTCATTAGTTTAATTAAATGAGTCTGCTTTGCAATGTAGATTGTTTATCAGCCAGTGATTCCATATCTGACTGAGGCTAAATCTGAATAAAATCACACAACAGTCAGCTTCAACAAGCTACAACAAAGGTAGTTGCTACAGTTTCCTCTTCCACTCGGACCAGGAAATAGCATTCTAACAATGTGATCATTTGAGACTCTGTCATAGAAGCTGCTCTTTCCATAGTCTTAGTTTCTGAATCACTGAATTTGACTGCGAGTCCATAAGCCCCAGTTCTGGCAAGATGGTTGTAGTAAGAATGAACTAGGGAGTTACTATCTCTTGAAGTATTGCCTGGAAGCCGTCAGGCTTTAACACAAAAATGTATTATCCTAGATCTGGCTGCAGGGTCATGTAAGATGCTGTACAAATTTGTAGCCAGTTAAGGAGTTCCATTCTTGCACTGAGCTGCCCATCTAGCATACAACTGTCTTGCTCAATTGTATTGGCTATTCTTTTAGTACTTTAGCTCATGAAAGAGCACATACAGCTCAGTGAGGAACACTGTGCTGGCTGTATATACAGGAGAGGCATGTTCAAGAAACAAACTTTCTTGTTTCCTCCGTCGAGCTGCTAAACACTTTAATTTCCTGGCAACAGTTACAGTGCAATTAGGTATCAAAAGCAGCATTTGTATGGCCGTGACTTCTGTGATCAAAAAATGACAAATCTTTATGTGCTTTAAATAATGTAGATTGGTACCTCCTGTTCCACTGCTTTTATAATCCTTTAAACTTCATGAAAAGGGTGTGCATGCACATGTATGTGCAGTTTGTAAATAAAAGGATAGTTCACACCTTTACACCTGTGAAAACCTACATGTATAGAGCAGTATAAAATGCCTGGTTTTGGCACACTACTTGGCACAGTTCAAAGCTATACACCTCCACAACATCCGCATCTTTCTGACTCAGGATAAGTAGCATCTCTGAATAGTTTCAGAGGAGATGCCAAAGGAATAAAGTACTGCTCAGTGAAAGGCTGGCAGAACATGGCTCCTCAAATTCTACAGATTTGCATCTGGGATAGTGGAATTTCCAAGGGTTTAAATAAGCTCAAACCATTTTTTTATTTTTTAAGTAAAACTTGGCTTTTTTATTTCTTACAACTATTAATACTATATAACAACACATCTGTACTTCTGTTTTTCTGGAGTTACTTGTCAAACTGCCAGAGTTAATCATTGTGAATTATGTTGCATATATTATTTTCTGAAGCAGTAAATCTGCTCATCACACGCTGTCTGCGTAGAAATAAAAAGAAATAGTTTTCAGTTTTTCTTCTAACATAAAAGCAAATTCAGCATTTCTACAGTTACATGTCTTTACTTATCTGTAGAAATTGACATTTACAATAAAACTGAGCAATGCATGTGTCACAGTATCTTGTTTGGAAAATGCATATCCAGTGTGCTACAAAACACAAGGTGATCTTAAAATGGTATGCCAACCTGTAGCATAATTTATTTTTTGGTGATTAATAAAGTAAGCTGGATTACAGCCAGCATAGTTGAGGTAAAATGTTCAGTCCTCTTTATATGAGCAGTTATGAGTCATTTTTAACAAAATCACAGACAAATATCATAGGCCTGCTATAAGGCCCTCTTATACCAGAGGGGCCACAATTCCTGACTATTAAACGAGAGCCTGGACAGTGGCTTCCCAATAAGTGATGGAGAAAAAGTTAGGGTATTAACTGGCTCGAATAGAGCAAAGAACTCTTTCAGAATGGGGGTAAACAGATGACATTTGTTTACACTAAAGTAAATCTGGTTCTCCTAGTGTACAGTGTCACCTGTCCAAAACCTGTTGTTACAAGATGAATATTTGTATAGCATTTTGGGTATGTAAAGAAAGCACTATGCCCCCAACCAGCAAGGCTAGAAAGTATGTGCATAATTTTAAACTGAATAATTCTACTGAAACCAACTATACCTCCCATTTACTGAAATTATGCACAGTCTTAAGAGCTTTGTTGAATCCTAATCTATGTGCGAACACCACCAAACAACCCTCAATTTACAATTTCCTCAACACTCAAACGGCAATCCTTGGATTGTGACTCACATTTTGGGAATGAAACATAAAAGCAGATGCAATTAGCAGACTCTTACATAGTCTGTGCTTTAGCTTTACTGAAGAGTTGAAGTTATACTCTTCTGTATGTGTACTTGTAGTGAAACATTGCTGCTATAAAGCAAAAGTGTCTTTGGAGAGAATCCAAATGTATTGCTGATAATTGATAAACCCTTCAAAGACCCAGCTTAAGATGTTCTACGAACTTCTGATTTAAAATACTTGCAAATCAAGGGACTGTCCACCTAATGACTTGGATATTATGGGATACACAAGAATGGATTTAAAAAATATATCTAAGCATACAAATCTTCTTAAGCATAACATGCTTACCAGTAGAAAAATGGGCTATGGAGAAGGAAGACTATTAAATAAAGATGTTGAACAGTCAGACACATCAGCACTTCAATGACATGATACATTTTTAGGAACTTTTGTTCTTTTTGCATCTTCTCTTTCTCTTGTTGCTCACTTAAAACTTTGCAATATTATAAAACACGATGATATAACATAGTGTATGTTTCACCTGTAGGCAACTGGAAACTTCCTATTCAGCTTGTTATATACAGCTTGTTAGAACCTATTATTTTTTAAGGCTACAAACAACACAGGAGTACATATATTAAAAATTATGGAAGACATACTTATCAGTTTGCCCATACTTAATCAAAATAAAATGGAGCAGGTTATAGCTTTCCTTTTTTCATATGAAGGTACAGACTGAAGGCTGATTAGACATATAAAGCTTTATTGTAATCTTGCTTTCTAACTAAAGGTTAAGCACTGCATGTGAAGATATATAATCAATATAGGCTTTGTCATTTAAAAAGATCAGACTTCAGTTTTACTGAAGAACTGAGCCACATCACATAGAGCCATTCTGGCCATTGGAGGCCTAGGAGTCCAGAATGGCAGTAGACGGTCCTAAGCATCTACTTCAAGATAAACTGGAGTCTCTTATAAGGTCAGAGAACTAGAAGGATGTTCCTGGGTCACTGATTCCTACCCCTTGCTACTACAGATAGCCACATCACAGAATGCTGTTAATAAACATAGCAAGTGCCACCTTTGTTTTACATGAAACTTTTGCTTTACTAGTCCTATAGGAAGGCTGTTCTGGAAGTTCATAGTTCTTTTAACTTCCAACCTAAACCCAGTTCATACCCAATTATCCTTACGGTAATGTTCACCTTCAGCCTGGTCTCCTTCCCTGGTATTTCCCCCTTGTTGCTTATGGAACATAATCATAGCACCTCTTAGTCTTCGCTTTTCTAGATTTAAACCAGCATGTTTTTCTGTCTCTTGTAAGACAGGTGCTCCATTCTATTGATCAGCTTGCAACTTTTCCAGTTTGACTCACTCCACTGACCGGTGGGCCTCAAGTTAGGAAGATCGTCAGTCTCTTTTGTAACACTGTTTCCATATTCTTAAGACAAAAAAAAAAAGGAGTAAAAAATCTTACCGTCTGGTTCCAGTCAATAGCAATTCTGTGTGTGTAGCTGAAGAGGAACACGCACAGGAAGAGGATGGAGAGGAAACAAGCAGTCACAGACACAAACATCACCCATCCCTGCAGTAGCGGCAGAGGAACCCTGGTGGCAGCTACCAAAATCCACACTAGTGCTCCAAATAGCTGTGAGGGGAAGAACACAACAAAGGTTGAACTAAACGTTCTCCAGCCTTTCTTGACTGAGACCTAACAGCTCAACTCAAATTGAAAAAATCCGCATGGAGGTAACTTCAGGAATTTGGGCAATTTAGAAAATTTTACCTTTTCAAGCTGAACGGCTCAAAATGACCTAGACATTGAGGAGATAGTCTCAGTACACACATCTACACATGCACTTTAATGTACAGCAGCCTATTTTACTGTATTAAAAAGTGCCACATAAAAAACTATGCGATTACACTAATGCACAGCAAAATAGGCTACTGTACATCAAGCATCACTTAAATACTGCGCATTGCGGCAGCCTAATACGCATTTGTTTCATACCTCACATTGGAGGTACTAAATTCGATGCACATCAGGAATAGTACGCATGCAGATGCACCCACTGAAAGTGAATGGGACCTAAGGGTTTAAATGGCTCTTGAAAATAGAAGCTTCAAAGTCTCTGAGGTATTTTTTGCCCAAAGTCTTATTTTGAAGGGAATAAAGGGACTATTAAAAACACTGTTAGAAAGCATTTATGCTGGAGGAAGGAATCAAAAGGTTTGTTGGCACCAGCATGTGTGCCAAGGGCGCAAGTAGGATTGAATCTGAAGTTTATGCCATGTAGCCATAGGCAGTTATAGTAATGAAATAAAAATAGATCCTGGTTTTGTTTTGTTTTGATTTTTAACTGAGTTTATTATTTTCCTTTATGTACATGACATTTGGACAAAAGGATAAAAGGCAATAAATGAAAAGTAAAATATTTTAAGGCAGACTGGATCTGGAAGGCTAAGTAAAAGGAAGAGATAGGCCAAGTTCTTTGCAGTTAAGCTTATGTAACAAAGAGCAGAATTCAGCCCTCCAAAATGTCATTGTAGCATACTGATTGATCACAATGAACATGTCTTCAACTATAACAAAAGATACCCATTAAAATCACCATTGCCACTGGAAAGTGTTCCTATGTCTTTAGATCAACATGGCTACAACCTATATCCTTTTTAAGATGGAAAGCTTAATCCAACTTAACAGTTAAGACCTTATTTTAGACAATGGGTAATAATGACAGTGATCAAATTCAGGCCATTTCCACTGGAGTGGCCATTTCCAGTATATACCTCCCAAGGCACGAAGCTGGAAGCAATTTTCCTTTTTTTCCAGATAGCAAGAACTTCAGTGGAAAGCCTGCTTAGTTTCTTTTTTAATCTGGGCCTGGCTCAATTTCCAGTAAGAACAAGTAAATCTTTTGTGGTATTAAAACACAGCATATATGAATCCAATATATCTGATGTAAAGATGCACTGGCAGCCTGAATTCACAATTTCACAGGTTAGTCTGTCAGCCTTCAAGCTACTTTCAACAGTTTCTTTTCATAATGCATCTGCTGTGAGAAAACCTACTTTCTTCTACAGTAACATGGCACTGGAGTCTCAAATCCTTTCTGCAGAAAACAAGTATTGCATGGGTAACAGCCACATAGTCTTTCCACTGCATCCCACTGCTGAGACTGGCATCACGGTTACTAATTTTAGCATCCACTTTGACAATGATTTCCCTGATAGTGCACCTGTCCAGTGGAACTAAAGCAAGGCACAGCACTCGCATTACACCGGTTGGCAAAACCATCAAGCAGTTAACTCAGGGTCATTTCTGACTTGCCTGAGAATGGAGGACCGCACACATACAGAACCCACAGGGCGGAAGTCAGGCATGTACAAGGCTTCTCTGGTGGTTAGAGCGGTACTCAAATCTGCAGCTGCAAGTAAGATTCTAGTCCTGTAACCTACATTTCCCCAGGCTCTCATGCTCAATTAGTAATCACAGCTGCGAAGTGGAAAACCCTTCTGCTCCTGCTTAATTCCAAGGACCTGACCTGTCCCAGTGAGCTCAGTGAGGGCACTTAGGTAAAGTTGGGCATGCAGATAGAAAGCTGAGGAAATGTATGCACATACGTGTGTATTTGTATGTAGAAGCATGTGTGTGGGTGTGTGTACTTTATATGCAGAAGGGTGCCCGTACTTTGTATGTAGAAGTGTGTGCATGCGTACCATGTAGATAGAAGGGCATGCATACTTTGTATGTAGAAGGGTGCATGCACTTCATATGTAGGTGCCTGCATTTTGTATGTCGAAGTGTGTGCATGTGTACTATATAGGTAGAAGAGTTTGTTCTTCGTAAAGAAGGGTGTATGTACTCCACATGTAGGTGGCTGTATTTTGTATGTAGAAGTGTGTGCATCTGTACCACACAGATAGAAGGGTGCACATACTTTGTATACAGAAGGGTGTGTGCACTTTGTATGTAGGTGCCTGCATTTTGTATGTAGCAGTGTGTGCGTGTGTACCATATAGGTAGAACAGTGTGTTCTATGTACAGAAGGGTGCATGTATTCTGTATGTAGGTGCCTGTACTTCATATGTAGAAGGGGTGTGCGTGTGTGTGTACCATGTAGGTAGAAGTGTGCACATATTTTTTACACAGAAGAATGTGTGTACTTTGTATATAGGTGCCTGTACTTTGTATATAGAAGTGTGCATGTGCATATTGTATGTAGAGGTGTGTGCATACTTTATATACAGAAAGGTGTGTGCACTTTCTATATAGGTGCCTGCAGATTGTATGTAGAAGTGTGTGTGTGTGAACCATGTAGGTAGAAGGGAGTGTATACTTTGGGTACAGAAGGGTGCTTGCACTCCGCATGTAGGTTCCTGCAGGTTGTCTGTAGGTGGTGGTGGGGGGGGGGGTCTGTGGGTGAACCACATAGGTAGAAGGGCATGCATACTTTGCACACAGCAGGGTGCGTGTACTTTGTATGCAGGTGCCTGTATCTTGTAGGTAGAAGTGTGTGCGTGTGTGTGTACGACATAAGTAGAAGGGCACGCATACTTTGTACACAGAAGGGTGCATGCACTTTGTATGTAGAAGTGTGTGCATGTGAACTATGTAAGCAGAAGGGTGCGCATACTTTATAAACAGAAGGGTGTGTGTAGTTTGTATGTAGATACATGTATCTTGTATGTAGAAGTGTGTGTGTACCACATAGGTGGAAGGGTGCGCATACTTTGTGTACAGAAGGGTTTGTGTACTTTGTCTGTAGATGCCTGCATACACACACGTGGGGGGGGGGGTGTGTACCACATAGGTAGAAGGGTGTGCATACTTGTACACAGCAAGGTGCCTGCAGAGTGAGAGAGAGAGAGAGAGTATGTGTGTGTACCACGCAGGTAGACGGGCGTGTGCACCCGCACGTAGGGTGTGTGTGTGTGTGTACCACGCAGGTAGAAGGGCGTGTGCACCTGCACGTAGGGTGTGTGTGTACCACGCAGGTAGAAGGGCGTGTGCACCCGCACGTAGGGTGTGTGTGTACCACGCAGGTAGAAGGGCTTGTGCACCCGCACGTAGGGGGTGTGTGTGTGTGTGTGTGTGTGTGTGTTTGCACGCGCTGTGTCCCCGGGAGGTCGCGCGTGCCCCCTTCCCCCCAGCCCTGGGGCCCGTGCGCGGGGGCCGCTCGCGGCGGCAGACTCCCCCCCGTCCCCGTCCCCGTCCCCGTCCCCACTCACGATCTCGAGGCAGATGAAGGCCCCCGAGTAGGTGCGCAGGATGTCGAGGCCACAGGGCAACGTGACCCGCGGCGTCGGGAAGTAGGCGGCGGGGTTGGGGGGCGGCGGCATGGAGCCCCCGCGGGCCGACATCCCGCT